GGAGGGGAAAAATGAGGACCTAATGTCGGGGGTTTAAATGGAGAGAAAATGTTTTGAGAAACGATGTACAAAGGTGCTTTACACAATTAATGTGTGTATGGATTGGGATAACAGTTGTATGAGCCCCTAATAAAATGTTTTAAAAAAAAAAAATCTTTCTGCATCAAATAATAGCTTCAGTAGTAAATAATACAGATCCTGGGTTGGAGCCTTCTTTATGTTTCTCCCTTTCTTTCCTTTACTACTACATTCTCAAAAACGTCATTAGTGTAGGTTCACAAATACTAATTGCCACAATGTTGTAGCTTAAACAACAGAAAGTTTTACAAAATCATTGACTATAAAAACACCAACAGCAATGAAAACAACAGCACATACATGCAGCACAGGCAGATGAAATTAACTAGAGGATTCAAATTACTGTAATTGGTTAACAATGACAGTGCTGCCACAAAGCATTAAAAAGGTTCAAAAGGTAAATCAAAGTAAAATTTATACTGAATCACTAGACATTTTGTTGATTGTCATTTTGGTGTCACCCACTCTTGACAGTGTCACATGATAGAGTCCTCCCCCTACACATACACACACACACACACACACACACGTCATCTCTCTAGTCCCCTAGTGACACCACTGTGTGCAGCTGTTTATATGTCCACTCCATGAATATTCATAAGTTCGGTGTGACTAGAGCAGGGTTGGACCCTTTTTCATAAAGGACCAGATAGGACGTTTTTTAGGCTTTGCATGTCAAGAAGCATTATCAATATTTTGTAGGAATTTACATAACCATTAAAAAAGTTGTGAACCTATTCTTGGCCCATGGGCTCTAGCTTGCCAACTTCTAAAATATAATCACTGTTTTTAATATTTAGTGTCTAGAAAATCATGCATACTGGCAATAAATCATCTCAATGATAGACTTAAATGATAAACTTTTCGACAAAGTAAATTGGGAAATTTTAATTTTTAAGTTAAGCATTTTATCAGAATTAGTTTTGAAAGAATATTATGTGTAGGATAAGAGCCACATCTGATGAAAGTGGTGATTTCCTAGCAATACTGCAGTAGATTTCCCCACCAAAATTTATTTGTAGACTTAAATATTATATATCAGATGGCTTATAAACACTGACTAAAAGTGACCCAATTGGTAAAGTACTTTTATTTAGGAAATTCTTCCCTGATAGATCAAGCAATCAAAGAAAGCTAAAATTTAACAAAACTGCTCTTGTATTGGAGAATAAACAGTAGTTTTTATGTCATTTGTTTGCATTGTGGATTGAAAGTACCTTATACATGATTTTATACATAGTTCCAATGTAATGCTGATTCTTCTTTTCTTGATTAGCTATCAGGTTAATTAGGTGTCTTTGGTTTCCTGACAGATCTTCTTCAACAATATCGCTCAGCTGTGCACAAGCTGGGGAGCGTGAATCAGGACCTCAATGGACAGTTGGAGTACCTTCATACTCCTGATATGAAGAAGAAAAAACAAGAGCTTTGTGAACAAGAAAAAAATCTGAAACTAATAGAGCAAAAACTAGGTATATATTTAATTTTTGTTAAGTTGTAGTTTCATTCCATGGAGATAAATGCACCTGCTCCTCACATGACTGGGTTCCAGCGTCTAGGTCGTTCACGTGAAAATCTACATTATGTACCACTTCCTAATCACATCACCTCGAGAAAACTCGTCTCCACTGCTGCCCTCAGAGGAGAGCTGCTCAGCCTTCTAGGGCCAGAATGGCTAAGTGCCACCCCACTGCCTATCCCCAGGGTTTCTCTGTCTCCCACCCTCACCTTATTTCCAGATTGAGTAGCTTTGGCCTGTCCCTTCAGTGATCCCAAAATGCCTTTCTTTGGTGACTTTTGTTGAGGGTTGAGGACTTGCTCTCTACTCTCCTTCTACAGACGGGAGGACCTGAGTGCCACAGGGATGTGCACACTGCCTACTGGGTCCTCCTCCTATCCCTCAACTGGGCATACCCCAGCTCCTGCCAGGCTGCCCTGTCCCCTACCTGCATGTCCCCCTGAGAACCATGTTGGTCAGATCCCTACCCTCTGCTCTTGACCTTACACAGTACCGGCTGCTAGCCACTGACCCCACTCCCTCCCAGGTAATCAGCTTCTCCCCCACCTGTGCCCACTGAGGAGGACCTGAACCCAATGCAAGTGGCTATACACAGGGATTGATCATTAATGTGGGGGTCCTGGGCACCCAAGTGCTTGCCTCAGGACTCTTCTGGACCCTCCCTCCCATTGGGGGCTGAGAGGCTGAGGGTCAGACCTTGGAGTCCTGTGGGTTAGGGACTAGCTGGCACCAACCCCATACCATCATTCCTATTTCTCAGTGGCTCTGTGCCCCTCCTGGCCAGTGAAACGCTCTGCAATAAGAGTTTGCTTTCTGTGTATCCCTGAAGCCCACCAGCCAGGGACTCCATCAGGGACCTCAGGGTTTATTACTGCTAGAGGTAGTAGCCAGACATGCGCTAGCAATGCACAAAATAGCTGGATAATAAGGGTTTGATTATTGGGTTGTTTTTTTTTTTTACTATTGTAATGAGAGGTTGCAAATAATAAAATAGTAGATAGTGAAGTGTAAGTATATTTAAGATTTAGATAAGAGTTCAACTCGTGTTAAAGTTGATTTTCCACACTTTTCCATCATTCATAGGTATGACTCCAACACGCAAAAGTAATGACTCAGTGCGTCTTCACACAAAGGATGTGGCGGAGTGTCCCGTTCCTGCTAAAAGAATGAGGAGAGAGACCACGAGACAAAACAGGTCAATCCTTTATGACTTAATGAGTGTCCAGTCTACCAAAACAATTAGATTATCATACTTTAAAAACAGCATGAATTCATTTTTTATTCTCTCCATTGAGCTAGAATTAGTATTGGGCAGGGCAGGGTGGTGGTGGGGAGCTTAAGTAGTTGATAACAAGGATAAGACAAAACAACTACATTCTTCTAGAATATTTGAATTTTCTAAATGAATTTAGAATGTTAATAGCTACTTTTGTGATTGTTTTTGTTTTAGAGCATTTTCTTCATCTTTACACTCATTGTCATTAGCTTCCCATTTCCCCCAGTGTCCCCTGCCACAACCCCAAGAAACTATTATTCCAGCTATTGTCTCTGTAGACCACTCATACCGAATTACAGATAAAGAAAACCATCTGCCCCAGCAATAACAAAACACAACAGAAAAACCTAAATCCAAAATAAAACAACAAAATCTAGAAGAAGTAGAAAGTGGGTCAGAAGGGAAAACAAATGACTAGATGTTATAATTCAGCCTAACCCGATCTGTACCAGTGCACTTTCCATTGCACTTTGTCTGAGGACGAGGCCATCCATGGTCCTGGTCAGTAGTCCAAGGACACCCAATAGAGGCCCAGTCCCTCTGGGGACTCTGCAAATGGATTTTAGGGTTCCACTGTCATCCATAGCCCTCTGCAAACCAGGTTGTCAGAATTCAAGCTCCAATACAAGTCCTTCCTCTGATCTTGGATCCCATTATCCTTGCATCAATGTGGCCTTAGTTGGCACCTCACTCAGATGGCTCCTTGTTTTCAGACAAGCCTTTAGGACCCCAGATGGTGTTCTTTCATATAGCAAGGCACCATCAGATTTCTTCATCACACTTTGCTATAGCCCCCATATCTTCATTGATCCCTTCGTGAAAGTAGTATTTAGGAGGGCCACATCATAAAACTGATTGTTTTTAGGCTAGTTAAGTACAAGCTTAAAAATCCATATCCCTGTTCCACTTCAGTGGCAACATTATCAGCTGTTTGAGAAATAATATAAGTAATCTCCACGGGGCCTTTGGTAATTCTAATACTAGTATCATTAAACTAGCTAATTGTATAGTATTTAAAATGTTTTGGAGATGGGAGTATATTCATACATGCGAACACTTTGGGGACTAAAATATATAGTTGTTCATGTAAGCACACTAAAACTTAAATTTACCGAATCCTCTTTAAGGAAACAATGAGAGTTCGACATGGCACACAGCTCAAGGCGCATGCATTTCTATGAACTTTTAAAAGATGCCAGGATTTAATTAAATCTATTTATATTAAAAAATACACTTGATGAAGCATAATTCCATATATTTTTATGGGTTCAGGGAAAGAAATCTTTAGTACATAAAACTTACTGTGTTTATTTTATTCCCACCTTGACCAGGATTATAACCAAAACAGATGTGTGAAAGATGACAGAAAATAAGGATTCCTAAGAATGTCCTGACTTCTACAGCTCTATTTCAGAAGACAGGAGGCTTACTTGATAGTCTGAATATTTCTGGATAAGTACCTGGGAGTCGGTTTCCATGTCTATCCAGATGGGGCTGGGAGCAGCAGTTCAATCTCATGCATCTCACTGGACAATGTGAACTTCCTGGGATTATTCCAGGCATCATGTCCCTTGTTTGCCATGTTCTTACAAGTCTGTCCGAGTGGAACATGAACATAGGGCGGTGACTGCAAAGCTGGCCCATGGAGTTTGTGAATCCTGAAGAAAAGGCTGTGTGCTGTTTTTCAGAGTAATTATTATGGATACATTAGAACTGTTTCTTAAAAAACCTTTTATTACTTTTCTGTGAACTTATTTAACAGAAACATTTTGTTGCTGTGTCTAAGGAAATCCCTAAAGGTTAGCTATTTAATTGTAAATATGAGGAAGCAGTGAAAACTTCAGGATAAAACTAGAAAAGGTACACGTCTGGGAATTTAAATGTTAAGATGAAAGTAAACTCATGACCGGTAGCATTTTACATTTCTAAGGACTTGTGTATATATATAAAATATGCAACATTAATTTTTATAAATATTGTTTGACTTTATTGATAGTAGATCATATAGTCTGTCTCAATTCTACATTTACATTATTTTGTAATTTTTTATTACTATTTTTAAAGATTAAAGGAAGCATACAATCCCATATCAATGCAATAAGGATCTGCTAGACCAGCAGTTCTCCACCTGTGGGTCACGACCCCTTTGGGGGGGATCAAACAACCCTTTCACAAGGGTCGCCTGATTCGTAACAGTATCAGAATTACAGTTATGAAGTGCAACGAAAATAATTTAATGATTGGGGGTCACCACAACATGAACTGTATTAAAGGATTGCGGCATTAGGAAGGTTGAGGACCACTGTGCTGGACAGTTGGTGCAAAAACATTTGGCTTGTGCACTAACTAACTCAAGCTAGTGTGTTTCGGTATATATGTCTTTGTGTAAGTCCGAGACTATTAGTCTATGAAGATCTTTTATAAACAAAATACTTTTGGTACAGTTTTGTGTCCCAGAAAATGTGGATTTTTTTAATCCTTTCTAAATATGCAGCGGGGTTAATAAAGAAGACTATTTCTTCCCTGCTGAATAGATAGGTGTTTTTGTTTTACAAATTAGAATCTTCATAAAAGTTACTTTGTTTAGAAAGATTGTGATGTTAACTACCTTTGCAATTGGGAGTAATTTAACTGGTGTTAATGAAAATAATAAATTGGTAATAATAGAATTGCCCACAAGAAACATTAATCCCCCCCCCAAAAAACTAAAAACAAAAACAATTTCCATAGCAAATCCAAACTTTTGAGTCTTTAGACAATAGCTTATATGAAAATAAAGAAAGGATTAGAAAAACAACTATTAAGGAATAGAAAATATATTCAATAGTGTGTAAAAGTTGTTCACATGTACAATTCATTGTTCATGGCTATCTAAAATAAGAAGAGATGCTTTCTTACTGGAAATGTGCTGAAAAACAATAACTTGGCAGTTTTATAATGGTAGATTTAATGGATGCTATCTGACATTGAGTCCATATTTACCAATTTTTTTATCATCATAATATCAGAAACTTTCTATCAATAAAATAAGGACTTAAATATTTCTATCCCTTTTTTTATAGAGTTTTTCCATCCATTAAAAGTTAACCTTGGAATGATAAATGTATTAAATCCCAACTAATAAAAAATAAACCATAATGAGTACAATAAAAAGTTTCTCTATTTTTGCAGATGAATTTATTTAGGGATTTTTGTCAACATATTAAGTGATTTTGTGCTTTTGTCTTTAATATAAAACATTAGAGGAGCCGATATTAAGGGCTCAAGTAGAAGGCAAATGTTTTAAGAATGATGATGGCAACAATGTATAAATGTCCTTGACACAATGGATGTATGTATGGATTGTGATAAGAACTGTACGAGCCCCCAATAAAATCATTTTTTAAAATTATATATATATATAAAACATCAAACACTTTTATATAGTACAAATAGTAAACAATTTTTTAAGTTTATTTTTATAAACAATTTTAGACTTATTACAAAAGAGGAAAAGTGGATTCTGAACTATCCACCCTGGCTTTTATTAATATGTGTTTGAAATTTGCCACAGTGCTTTCAAAAAACAAAACTCCTTCTAAAGAAACAATTATAACCTCTTTTATTTTTAAAGTGATTGAAATTAAACTTCCTAGTTCCATTGGAAGTAATTTAACTGCCTTCTTGTACATTATAATGTTAATTTTATTCAAAATGTTACAGAAATTTTGATATAACATTTTTCAAAACTTACACAGAGACCAATATGTCTTTTTAGTTAAGTCACAAAACAGTTTCTTAGAATCATCTCTCCCTCCCTCTTCACTGTGATATAATATGCTCATAACTTTAATTTGTACATGTTCAATCTTAACAATATTTTATTTTGCCTTATCTATTGAACAACCATTACCTCTTTTGAATCCAGAAAGAGGTAGTTACTTTTTATCATTGGTATACTTAGGTTTAAGGATTGGTAGCAACATTAAAATTTATGGTAGGAAACAGTAATGTTGAAATGGTAATATTTTGTTGTGTATATTCTCAATGAAATAAAATTTAAAGAAAAAGTTTTATGGTAAAGATTTGGCCTTAAAACATTACAGAGGGTTCACAAGGAAGAGACAAGCCAGTCAGGGTGCAGTTTAGCATCAATGAAACACAACTTTCCTCTAGTTCTTTAATGCTTCCTCCTCCGCCACCACCCTCATCATGACCTCTGTTCTACCTTACAAATCCGACTAGACCAGAACATGGACACTGCTACATATAAGGGCCGGCAACACAGGGAATCCAGGACAGATAAACCCCCAGAGCCAACAATGAGAATAGAGATACCAGGATAAGGGGAAGGTGTGGGGAGAAAGGGGAAATCAATCACAAGGATCAACATATATAACCCCCTCTCAGGGGACGAACAACAGAAAAGTGGATGAAGAGTGACAGGATGATGTAAGATATGAAAATAATCTATAATTTGTGAAGGGTTCATGAGGGAGGGAGGGGGAAAATGAGCTGATATCAAGGGCTCAAGTGAAACAATGCTTTGAAAAGTGATGGCAGCATAAGTACAGATGTGCTTGACACAATGGGTGAATGTATGGATTGTGACAGATGTAAGAGCCCCCAGTAAAAGTAATAGTTAAAAAAACATATCTTAAGTTTAAGGTGACGTTTCCCCAAATCTTGCTTTGTGTCAGATATTTATTATCCATAAATAAGCATCTAAAAGACATACTGTTTGAAACTACTTCCCCTTTAAAAATAGATTGCTTTCTGTGAGATGGAGTTTGTCGTCTCATCTTTGAGCTTTGTCATAGAGTGGGTACATATAATTGTTATGTCCTGGTGAATTGACTAGGCGGTATGGTTTTCTGCCATGGTGTTAGAGTTTGTATGTAATGTTAATGATTGTCTTTTGTGTTGTTTTACATGATAATCTAAGCTTATTGAACTACTTGATGCTAAGTTATACAAAATTGCTTTTAGTTTGCATTTGGCCACCTCAAAGTAGTTATAACATTAAAAAAACAAACAAACTCACTGCCATTGAGTCGCTGTCTGAAAGCGACCCTGTCAGACAGGGTAGAACTGCCACTGTGGCTTCATGAGACTATCTACACAAGTAGAAAGCCTCATCTTTCTCTCTCCGAGAGGCTGGTGGTTTCAAACTGTTGACTTGTGGTTAGCAACCCAATGTGTAACCACTATGGCCCAGGGCTCCAGTTAATAACATTAGATTGGTCAGCTTCTGTACTGTGGCTTTCTGTTGAACAGACATACAATCTTTACACAAGCATTAACACATCCAAAGCAAAAAGGCATTAAGTAAAACAGCAATAGTTACTGCAACTTAGGCCTGGTGACCAGTAACACATGATTAAAATTTCTTCCCACATTCACACACACCACTCCATTTAACATCCCAACTAAAACACTACACATGTGAAACTTCTCACCGACACACAAAAATACTAAATTTCTATCATTGCTACTGCAACTATACTTATGCACAAATAAGAATCCAGAGTGAGGCTCTACAACTGCAGAAGCATGAAAATGATTTAGGAAAAATGTATTAAATTGCTTGAAAATATATACTTGTGTAGATCCCCACTGTACATACAACCATAAACATTGTTCTATGTAAGCAAAAAGGAAACAGTAAATTTGAAGAGTGGGCATTTCCTTCCCAACAAATAATAAAGATAACGCCTTAAAGATATTACACTGAAAAGACATTTTAAAGGCAAGATCATGGTCTCCACTGGTTTTTTTTAAATTAAACAAGGTAACTGTGTTTACCAAAAATGCTAATTTTGTGTAATACAATGATAATGACCTTATTTTAATTACAATAAGCTACCAGTCTCAGAAGAAGCAACAACTGAACTCAAGCTGACTGCATTGCAGTGGAAGCTGACTGAGCGAGGCTGTGGGACAGGGTAAACTGGCCCTGGGGGGTTCTGAGACTAACTTTGCCCCCCAGTAGTTTTATTGGCATCTAATTCACATATCATACATTCAATAGTTCAATCACATCAAGTATACTTAGATCTAATTGCAATTCAGTTTTATACTTTAAAATCACAGGAACAGTAACTATTCTTTGTGTTAGACTGGGCTCTGGTCCTTAGTGGACCATATTTCCAAAGTAAGTCATAATCATAGGTACCAAGGGTCATAATTCAGCATATCTTTGAGGACACGGTTTAACCGATAATACTTGGTGTATTTAAATTTAGTCGTTTTTGTCACCCTGGTGGGTGCATAATGGTATTTAACTGTGTCCTTAATCTACACTTCCCTGGTTATCAATGACCGAGCAAGAATCCTCACAACCAGTCGTGGGGATGGTGCAGGACCAGGCAGGATGTTGTTCTTTTGGGCATGAGGATCCCAGGCGTCAAACAGCATCTTCAGGGAGGCAAGTTAAGGTTTCATTGTCCAGGCCTGCTCCCCTTACCGTTTTGAAGTCTCTGAAAGTACTTGAAACTACAATCTAATGAGATTATTTGTCATGAATCTGACCATCAAAAGACATCGTTTATTTGTATTTGTACAGGAACTGTTTAGCAATGACAGTTCAAAGCTTGAGGGTAGGTTTTTCCGTGCGTTTTTATATCTCTACGGTTGATAATTCTCTCTGGCTAAACAGTGATTTAGCAATGCTTATCTCCTTCCAGCTCCTTAAAAGTACAGTTAGGGAAAGTTGTCATTCTAAGGTGCTGTGAATTTGAAACCTTTCTTGGCCCCCTCATGACCTCACTCGTTAGGGAGAGATCACAGGCCCAGGGAGAGCATGACACTTATTTTGTTCTCTGGCCAACAGAGGCTCCAAGTGGGGTGGAGAAAGACTGAAAATAGTCATCTCTTGGCTGCATCGGCCACGAGGGAGGGTTTTGAGAATATGAGCAGATTTAAAAAGTGAGGAAGAGAAATAAGTTCACTTGGGTCAGCCTCACCAGTTAAAAGTGGAGGTGTGAAAGGAGTTGTATGTTAGTCTAGGTAGACTAGAGAAACAAATTCATAGACACTCGTGTATAAGAAAGAGATTTATATACAGTAGCAATTGAAAATTGAGAAAACATCCCAGCTTAGTCCAGATCAAGTCCAAAAGTTTGATATTAGCCCATATGTCTAATACCATAGATCTATAAGATCATCTTCAGACTCACAAAACACATGCAA